GGATTCCTGACAACAATTTCAAGTGCTCAGAGACCCTTTTTACTTATTTCTGGGTTTGGGACATGAGTGATAAGTGAAGATGAGTAAAGTAGACAGAAGTTTGACATCAGGATAAGTGGGGTATCACTGTCATTTTATTTATATAGAAACACTGTTTCCAGAACAGTTTGTATTCATGCTTTTAGGCTGCAGTTCATTCATGCAATCTATCTTCATTCTGCACTTAAACTGCAGACAAAAATAAATGAGACAGAAAAGGGCAAAATGCCGACTTCGGCAAGTCAGAGATCATCAGATGGCCGAGGCTTCCCAGATATCTCTGTGTCCTGCCCTTTCATTTTCCTGCTTTTAACTTAGGACATTCTTTTGCTACAAGCTAAGTGACCAAGCACTATCAGCCCAAGCTCTCCACGTCATTCTCCCTTCTCAGACACCACTAACTACACTATCTTTCCAGTTTCTTTTTCCTTTTTTATTTCTTTTTTTGTGATGGAGCTTTGCTCTTGTCCCTCAGGCCGAAGTGCAATGGTGCAATCTCGGCTCACTGCAACCTCTACCTCCCGGGTTCAAGCGATTCTCCTGCCTCAGCCTCCTATGTAGCTGGGACTACAGGCACATGCCACCACACCTGGCTAATTTTCGTATTTTCAGTAGAGACGGGGTTTCATCATGTTGGCCAGGCTGGTCTCGAACTCCTGACCTCAAGTGATCCACCCACCTCAGCCTCCTAAAGTGCTGGGATGACAGGCGTGAGCTACCACACTCGGCCTTTTTTAAAATTTTTTTAAATAAATGAAAGCAATGTATTTATTCACTTATTACAAATTCCTTTAAAATACTAATATAGTTTCTGGGATTTTTGCTGTACCACTGTTGAAAATACAAATGATATTGTTGATCAGCTGTTTTCCCCATTGCTTTATCATTGTTGCTACTTTCTTCTTTTTTAAAAAATAAATTTTACCATGTACATTTAAGGTGTAATATATCATGATGTTACAGAATACATACAGACAGTAAAAAGGTTGCTATAGTGAAGCAAACTAACATATCCATCATCTGACATAGTTACCTATTTTTTGTTTTTTGTGGCAGCATTAGCTAAAATCTACTCATATGGCATAAATCCCATATATGGGACAATTTTATTACCTATAGTCCTCATGTTGTACCTTAGATCTCTTTTCAGTTTCTTAAAGTGGAAACTTGCTGTTATCAATGGCTTTTCCCTCAGTTTCCCCCTTAAACCAAGCAATTTCGAGATTCTGGTGTACGCGGTTCATTCTATGTTGAGGATGCATTTTACCTTCTTCTCACTCACGCCTGCCAGAATTCCAACCCATGGCTCTTGCACACGTCTGTTTTCCAGACATCCCCCTCACCTCTCGACCCAAATCCATCCCAAATATAATAGTGCCCTAGTCTTTCATCACTGGGTTAGCAATCTCCATTTCCTGAGCACTGTCATTGGTTAGCTCTCCAAATATATCTTGCTTGCATTTGAATGCTATATTTTCACCTTTAGTTCCTTTTATAGTACTTCTTACCACCCACCTCCTCCTGTTCAGTCTTTACATTGGCACCTTCCAGTTTTCTATGTTCCATATAGTTTTGCAGACAGAATTAAAGAAACATGTTAGAAATCTCTTTTCTCATCTGTCTACTCCAGAGTCTTATCCCTGATCGCACCTTCACATGAAATAAAGAAATTTTCTTTTCTAATGCCTTGGAATTTAGTGACTATGTTCCCAATTTAATTTACTCAACTATTTTCCCTTTTATGTATTTCCCGAGCCTCTAGAGAAAGCATACCCAGGTTTGTTGTTCTCCACATACCCCACCCCCTCCTCCTTCCTCACACTGTAATTGTCAACAATAGCAGGACCGAACTTCTGAACATATGGTGTGGAGCTCCGTCCCAAGTTAAATCAATCCCATCCCCTGTCCATCCATTCCCCATCCATCCTTCCCCCTTTCCCATGGCACTCCTGTGGGGCCAGTAGAATCCTCATCTCATGGTCAATGGAGCCCCTTCTGCCTTGAATTTACTCAGAAAGCCTTCTTTCCTCCATAGGCCTGGGCTCCCTCCAGAGCGCAGAGGGCCTCCAGACTCATGCCCTTCTGAAGCAAAGGACCTGCACCTCCCCAGGATGCACACCTCAGGCCCAGGAGCAGGGGAGGCTCCGCTTGCCCGCAGCGCTGCTCACAGAGCAATACCACATCACCCTCCTTTCAGGCCCATGACCTCTGACTAGGCTTCCTTTCCCTGCTCCTCATCTGGGTCCAGGTGGTGCCACCGACTGTTGAACACACTTGCTTTCCAGGTCCTTGCCCACCCCATCGCCATTATTCTCTTTTGCTCACTTGGGCCACCCACTTTCTAGGCTCCATCCCAGGGCTTCCCTTCCCCCAGGTCTGCTCCCGCTGCCGTTCCCATTATCCCACCTCCGAAGGCCCTCAGTGCAGTCAGCCTGCTCCCTGACGCAGTCAGCCAGCATTCCAGTCTTACTATCCTCCTGCTTCTTCCAGTTGACTGGCCCCTTCTGGCTTCTCTTTCTTCCCTATCCAGCTTGGATTCTATGGCTGATGTCCTGAATTGCTTTCACCAGCCCCGTTGGCTCCCTGCCAGCAAACCTTTGCCTGGACTTCCTACACCAACCTGCTACCCAGGACACCTCCTGCTTCCCCGGACTTCACTCTCTGGCAGTCACACTCTATGTCCTGGCTTGGGCCCACTGCAGTCTCAGTGCAACCTCTTCCTAGGGGCTGGCTCCACCCACTCCTGGTTTGCCCTGTCCCCTTCCCTTCCAAGCTGCTAGTCTAATGCATAAATTGAAAACCTTATATTTCTATTATAGTTTATTATTTTAAAAATGCTTTGGGATGCTGATGTTATCCACAAGACAACCTCTTATGGGGTGGAAGTTCAAGATAATATTGCAATTGAAAAAAAAATTGCAGTTCATGGAGGTTGTATGGCTCACTCAAGCTCTCACAGCCTCAAAGGGTGGAACTGGTTGGTCATCATAATGTGGCAGGCCAGGCCTCACTAACGCAGGCCTCCATTACAACTGTTTCAGTACTAACTGAGTGGTTAAGTTAAATAGTAAAAGCTGAAAGAGCCAGTCCCCTATACAAAGGCTGGAATGTAACAAAGGCCAACCGAGAGTTTTGCCTAGGCCGTTCCTAGGCCTTAAAGCATGGCAAGATAATGAAGGAATTCCTAACAGGACCCATTTAGGATTAAACAAGTTTTACTGGGGGTCTGAAGAAACTCCCCAGACCTCCACAAACAAGTTTACTGGAAGTCTGAAGGAAACCTCCCCCCCGCCCCCCCCACACACACACAAACCTCCATGATTTAGCAGGAGACAAGATAAGGGTAATCACCTCAGCACCTGGACCATTTAGATTAAGTAAATTTACTGAGATGCCAGAGGAAGGTCTTCAGGACTCAGAACTTACTTATAGATTAATAGAAGTCAATCACTTATGTCCTTAGATGAATGCACACTTAATATAGCTTAGAAGGTATATAAGCTCTGGAAAACTTTGTAGTTTTGAGTTGGCCTGGTGATAATTTCCAGGCCTTCTCCCTGTAGCCATTTGCAGAAATAAAAACTCTCTTCCTCCCTAGTTCATCTGCATCTCGTTATTGGGCCACAAGAAATAGCAGCCCCAGCCTCAGTTTGGTCTGGTAACAATAACATTAGAGGCATTTGAACCAGAGCATTAAAAGTAATGGCAAAAACCGCAATTACTTTTGCACCAACCTAATAAAACAGTGTCAGTAAAGAAGCCAGCTAAAACCCACTAAAATCAAGATGGCAACAAGAGTGACCTCTGGTCATCCTCGCTGCTACATTCCCACCAGCACATGACAGTTTACAAATGCCATGGCATCTCGGGAAGTTACCTTATATGGTCTAAAAAGGGGAGGCGTGAATAATCCACCCCTTGTTTAGCATATCACCAAGAAATAACCATAAAAACGGGCAACCAGCAGCCCTCAGGGCTGCTCTGTCTATGGAATAAACACTCTTTTATTCCTCTCCTTTCTTAATAAACTTGCTTTCACTTTACTCTATGGATTCTCCCTGAATTCTTTCTTGCATGAGATCCAAGAACCCTCTCTTGGGGTCTGGATTGGGACCCCTTTCTGGTAACATTAATAATCAGAGTACATTTTCTTTCAACCCATCTGAGACACCTATGCTATGCCCAATTATTTAACATGGTAGTTGTGGGGATGACAGGGGTAGGTGAACAATAAATGCATTAATCAAAAATAGACATTCAGAAGACAAATGTAAAGGGGTACCACTGTGAGGGCAGGGACCTCAGGATCAGTTTTCTACATGCAGTTAGTTGGCCCCAAAGCAAACATTCAGGCTGCAACTCTTGGCTCAGAGAGAAAAAAAAAAAAATCCAAAGAGATGCAGAGAAACTCTATGCCAACCAAGCTGTTTTGTGTCCTCTGTGCTGGCTCTCACAAGCCAAATGCAATAAATGGAGAAGGCACAGCATTGGAAGAGCAACTGAGCCCATGGATGGTGAATCAGGGGAGGAAAGAGAACATGCTGGAACTATTCCTTATTATAGGAAACTCCACTCATGCATAATTAGTGTGCACTGGAAGAGAAGACTGGTATGTGACATGCTCATTCCTGAATAAAATAAAACAGACTACATCCCTCCCCATCCTGTATCATCTAGACATTTATGATGTCATAAAGACAATAAATACAATCAGGTACTAATCCTAATGGATATATAGACAACGATAATGTAGAATGAAGACCCAAATTAAATTTTTTTGAAATTTATGAGATATATGTTAAAAAAAAGATATGGCTCTACAAATCTTTGAGCTTCCTGGTTGAAAACAGTTACATCACATCTGCATTTGTACATATCTCTAGTAAAATTAATCGTGCTAGCTGCTCTAAGACTGCCCTCCCCCAAGAAAAATGCTAATATTTAGCAAAATCATCATTTACCTTGTAGAAGATCAAAAAAAGATCATCCAGTTTCCCATGCAAATCACCTGCAGTGCAAATGAAAAAATCAGTATTTGGTAGAAAACAGGATGCAATGCCTGTTTTGTTACAGACTTATAAAAGTGAAATACTGCTGATCCACTCCAAGTGTTCTCAGGGCATTGGGTTTTTACCCTATGACAATGTTAATTTGACAGGCAATTTGTCTCCATAGCACTCTTTTCTTCCTCTCCTATAGTGGGGGCATGCTATCATGATCAGTTTCCTATATGCAGTCAGTTTTCTATATGCAGTAATTTGGACAGGGCTTCAATTACTCTGGGCCAAGCACTGTGATAAGGGTTTTACATGACCTTTACCTTGTTCAATCCTAATAACCACTCTGTGAGATGGGTTTTATCTTCATCCTACAAATGAGGCTCAGAGTAGTTAAGTAAGTTAAGCAAAGTTACTCAGCCACCAAGTACCAGAGCTGGAATTCAAACCCAACTTTAACTCACTTCAAACCTCAAGCTTGGCCCGGTGTGATGGCTCACACCTGTTAATCCAGCACTTTGGGAGGCCGAGGTAAACGAATCGCTTGAGTCTAGGAGTTCAAGACCAGCCTGGTCAACATGACGAAACCCTGTCACTATTAAAATACAAAAATTAGCCGTGCATGGTGGCACACGGCTGCAATCCCAGCTACTCAGGAGGCCGAGGCACAAGAATTGCTTGAACCCAGGAGGGGGAGGTTGCAGTGAGCTGAGATTGTGGCACTGCACTCCAGCTTGGGCGACAGAGCAAGACTCTGTCTCAAAATAAATAAATAAATAAAAATTAGCCAGGTGTGGAGGCAGGCACCTGTGATCCTAGCTACTCAGGAGGCTGACTGAGGTGGGAGGATTGCCTGACCCTGGGAAGTCGAGGCTGCATGAGCTGTGATCATGCCACCACACTCCAGCCTGGGTGACAAAGTGAGACCCCATCTCAAAAAAAAAAAAAAAAAAAAAAAAAAAAAAAAAAAAAAAAGAAAAACAACCCCTCAGCCTCTTAGCAATTACTCTATACGCCCACACTGTAATCCCTAGGAGAGCAGCAACAGTATCTATTTCAGTTAGTGTTGAATCCCCAAGTGCCTACCATAGTACCCAATGGATAAGAAGCACTCAATAAATACATTTCTTGCCTGAGCACATAGCTTTTTAAAGCCATATTTTCAATATACTCCAGCAGCAGCAAATGAAGTTTAAAAATTGTGAGTAGATAGTTGACATTTTTTGATGAGACATAGAAAAAATGAAAGCCATCTAAGGGAAATCATGTGAGTATCTGAAGCCATTAATTAAAAAATAAGGCCGGGCATGGTGGCTCATGCCTGTTATCTCAGTACTTTGGGAGGCTGAGAGGCAGGCGGATCACTTGAGGACAGGAGTTCAAGGCCAGCCTGGTCAACATGGTTAGACCCTGTCTCTACTTAAAATACAAAAATTAGCTGGGCATGGTGGCACATGCCTGTACTCCCAGCTACTTGGGAGCCTAAGGCACGAGAACCGCTTTGAGGCAGAGGTTGTAGTGAGCTGAGATTGTACCACTGCACTCCAGCCTGGGCTCTGTCTCAAAGAAAACAAAAAAACTATTTCTAAGTAAAATATCTTTCATAAGTTCTGCTCATAAATTTTTATTCTTTGTATCCAACTTAATTAGTATAGAATTTAATTTAGGAATACTTTTCCCTCAGTTTGCTTAAAATCCCACAACGAAGATTAACCAAAGATATGCAACAGAAGACTCCAAATATACTGAGAATAATAAAATATAAATTCTATACGACCAGCACTTATTTATAAAATATTACTACAATATGATTAGCATATTAATGTCAATGCATGCTTAAATCTCATTGCTTTCATATGGTCTCACTCTAAATCTAAGGACATAAAGATGGGAGGACTCTTAGTTTAATATATCTTCTTATTTATGTAATTTTCCTAATTTTCTTCAGGGTGATTTGTCTCTCAAAGACTTGGGTATACAGGACTATTATAGCTGACATGCTAAAAAATGAACTTGTTTCAGCATACTAAAAGTGGAGGCTATAAAATATTTTTAACTTCTAGTTGGACAGCGAAAGAAAAACTTGTATCATGGGAAGAAGGACAGAAAGATATTTCCACTGCCAACAAAATCATGAGTGTGGAATTGGTTATCATTTATAATATAACTGTAGACTAAAAAACCTCTTATATTTCATGCATGCTGAAAACTATGGGGCATATTTAGATGTACATGTAAAAAATGCATCTCACAATTAAAATCATAGCAAATTTTCATCACAATCTCTCTCCCTTTCCTAACACCGTCTTAAACAGAAGATGGGTTTTGAAGTTATGGTCCCAATTTTAAATTTTATTGTAAATAATCGCAAAAGTTTTGAAGTTCAATGAGCTATTAAAAATGGAAAATAATAATATTTCCATGTTAAGAAAACCCACTGCCCTTGTCTTTTCCCTCTACCAATGGTGCTACGTGAAAAAGACTAGAAATAAATGCCAACATGTAGAAATCTTTAATTAATGGAGCTGTCCAATTAAGTCATTCCCTCATCCTTGCCTCATGATGGAAAATAAACCATCAGGTACATAATGCGAGTCTGGATAGCAGAAGTGGCCTGCCTCTAACCTGGGATATGGAAGACCTGATTTTAATCCTGATCCTGCCACTTTTCTCTCTGGGGTTCAATTTCACTCATAAGAGCAAGAAATAGACTAGAGAATCCTTCAGTTCTCACACTGTGGGATTCCAGGACTGCCCTGCCCTGTAATTAACGTGTGTCTTCTTCCAGATCCTTTTAGGCAAGGATGAGTCTGTAGGGGCTAACAGTGAAACACAGGGGAGCAGAACCCATCTCAGTTTGGGCTATTCTACATATCCTGAGAGCAAACCTAGCCCTGGCCTCATAGGCTTCACAGGTTGGCATGGCCTTCTGAGCCTCATAACCCAAAAGTCTCTATTTCCCATGAAAAGTAAGGCCAAGTGAGACCTTGAAGAAAAGCCCCCCACTGCTGAGATGCATCATCTGCTAGTCAGAGACATGATAGCCTGATAAGGTTGGAATTGAACCATTAGAGACTCTTCAAAACCCTGAGTCAAGGCATGCCACGAGGTAGGTACTGCTACATCAACTCCCTGCCACCACTATCAGATGCTAGAAATTGAAGTAGTTTAATTAGATTGTCAAATTCTCTTCTACCTGCCAGAATAAGAGAAATGCAGGCTAAAAATTGATTTGGAAAATAACAATCACTGTTTTGTAACCTAAAGGCTTAATTAGAAGTTAAGGGAATTGCTGTTCCTTCCATGCACCCCACTCTCAAACAGTTGCAAGCATGCTGAGCACCAACTGTGATGAATTTCAATGTGTACTGTTTCTTGAAGCAATATCCTGCCAGGCTGGCCTATATGATAGCAAAATCTCCAATCTTGTTATTTAAAAGAACAAGAAACAGATTTCTGGGACATTCCCACTCTTCTAAAAGCTGCAGAGACCAGTTGGAAAAATCTAAAACAGCAGCCAAGGGCAGAGAAGAATTTAATCTCCACCCCACCACGGGCTTTTCTCTTCCCAGCATAAGTGGTATGCAGAGGCCCACCTAGAAAAAGCAACGTGGAACAAAGATAATGAGAGCTAGACAGAGGGCAAAGAATGCTTATTCCACCCATGGGTGGTTTTTCCATATTAAAATGCTGTCTGCCTTTATAAAAAGCTATGAGCTCTTTAATTTCTCACATAATTAATTCCTGCCAGCTGGTATCCAAAACAAAGACAAGATGGGGAACAGTATTATCATGATAGATAATTCTATATTAACATTTTTCCCTTAACACAGTTCAATTTACACAGTTTTCAAGCTAGGCAAATGATATAGGACCAAGAGGCTCCTAAATATTAATTTGACAACTCTGCTCTGAAACTCACCGCAGACTGTTACCTCTTTGGAGGGAGAAGTTTGTATTTGAGTGAAATTTGGCATTTGCTTCAGGAGTTTCTGGGTTTCAAATAGCACCTCTAAGACATAACGGGCATGAAGTATCTGTGAGGGAGAAGCAGAGGAAATAGATGTAATGAACAAGGAAGAAAAACATGACTGTATAGAAAACTGTAAAGGTAGAGCACATGCGCATATGTCAGGTCACTGCATTTCAGGATAATCTCTCAATTATTAGATCACTCTAACAGTGTCTGCCACATAGTAAGACCTCAGTGGATGAGTGCAACTGAATAAATGAATGATCATCCCAGGTCCTTAGAGCCCAAGAGAAGTGAAGGAAGGCACGCCCTTGCCCTAAGGAAACGAGCTGGAAAAAAAAGCTGATCATAATAATAAAAGAGAAAAAGAAAAAGCAGAGGAAGAATGAGAAAGAGACAGAAAAACAGCGACAGTCTGCATTTGTTGGGACATCCTGCCACCTGGGATGGAAACTAGGTGTTGCTGGGCTGGGAGACGCATGAGGCAGCCACACCAGCTTCTAAGAAACTCCTGAGTCAGGCCTCCCAGGTGTGGCCCCAATATTTGGTGTACAGCCTCGAGAATTTTCAGAATGGCAAGTACATTTATATAAAAGTCTAAGTATAAACCATATTCCAAATGCAGATAACACACTTGGATTGTCTCCTATTTATGACTATTCATCCCATTGCTCTCCTCCAGTCACAGTGTTTATGAGATTATTGTTTTGTTAGATTTGCTCTGTTTTCTCCCCGGGACTGTTTTTAAATCCAGTGTGTCATTCTCCCTTTTTTTAATTATAAAATATTCCAATCAATGGCCGGGTGCAATGGCTCATGCCTATAATCCCAGCACTTTGGGAGGCTGAGGTGGGCAGATCACTTGAGGCCAGGAGTTCAGGACCAGCCTGGCCAACACAGCAAAATCCTGTCTCCACTAAAAATATAAAAACTTAGCTGGGTGTGGTGGTGCACACCTGTAATCCCAGCTACTCCAGAGGCTGAGGCACGAGAATCCGTTGAACCCAGGAGGCAGAGGTCGCAGTGAGCCGAGATTGCACTACTGGACTCCAGCCTGGGCAACAGAGCGAGACTCTGCCTCAAAAAAATATATATATTCTAAATATGTACTCCAAAATATAATATAGCAGAGATGTGACTACCACACAAATGTAACATATTTTAATAGGTCAAAACTATTTAGACCTATTGCCATATTGGACCTATGTTGTCCAACATGGCAGCCACTAGCCACACGGGGTTCTTGAGCATGTAAACTGGAGCTAGTCTGAATTGAAACATGCTCCAAGTGAAAAATTCACACTAGATTTCAAAGCCTTAGTATGAAGAAAATAAGTAAAATGTCTCATTAATCACTGTTAACATAATTACTTATTTAAATGACAATATTTTATATGCCGAATTTATAAAATAGATTAAAACTGTTTTAATAAGACTATCAAAAAATTCTAAATTATGCATGTGGCTCACATTGTATTTCTATTGGACAGCACTGGTTTAGATTACCGAAGGCCGAGAAAGGGGTCATATCTACATATTGCTCAGATACCGCTTTGAGTACGGGATTAAGGGCAGGTGGATGGAGCCCTTTGGACCAATCTTGTCTCATGATGTCCTGAAATTTCCATTTCTATAGCTATTAAAATAATATAGTTATTTTCTATCCCAGACCCCAAAATATATTATTTGGTTTTTAAAAAAGCTAAATTAACAAATATTCATTGAGAATATATTACAACAAAAGAAAAATTATTATGAAAATATTCATTGGTATCAAGTCATAAAAAAGAAAAAAAAAAAGAAAATAGTTTATCTGGGTCTTTGGATTGACTAAAATCATTTTGTTCATACTAGTCCTTGCCTATAAGGCTGTCTTTCCTTAGCATCAGAATTATATTTACAACTGCAATATTAAATATGCAAGATTGTTAACTCAGATGGCAGTTTCTCCATTTATATATTCAGGTTAAATAACCACTTAAAATAGTCACATTCTTTTAAGTTGGAAAAAAATACTACCTTTAAAGAATATTTCTTTTTAAAAAAGTAGTTTCAGGGCCAGGCACAGTGGCTCACGCCTGTAATCCCAGCACTTTGGAAGGCCAAGGAGGGGAGATCACTGAGATCAGGAGTTTGAGACCAGCCTGGGTAACATGGTGAAACCCCGTCTCTATTAAAAATACAAAAATTAGCCAGGCATGGTGGCGAGCATCTGTAGTCCCAGCTACTTGGGAGGCTGAGGCAGGAGAATCACTTAAACCCAGGAGGCAGCGGTTGCAGTGAGCTGAGATCACGCCATTGCACTCCAGCCTGGGCAACAGAACAAGACTCTCTCTTAAAAATAAAAGTAGTTTTAAAATGGAGAAGCAACTCATTTTTTTAGTTGACATAAAATTTTAAATAGTGGAAAGGGGTAAAATAATGAAAAGTCATTTTCCGTCTCCCTCAGATCCTATTCCCCTAATCCCTGTCCCTAGAAACAGCCACTGTTAGAAGTATCTTGGGTATCATTCCCAGAAATATTCTATGTATTTACAAGCATACAGAAATCAATATAACCACAGATGAATATGAAAATGCATGTATAAATATGTAATCCCTTAAATACAATGTGCTATATCCATACAAAGTAACACTGTTTAGCTAAAAATAGGAAGAAAGTACTGATCCATGCTACCATGGATGAACCCTAAAAACATGCCAAGCAACAGAAGCTAGGCACAAAAGGCCACATATATTGTATGATTCCACTCATGGGAAATGTTCATATAAGACAAATCCATAGAGACAGAAGGTAAATTAGGATTGCCAGGGGCTGGGGGAAGAAGCCAATGGGATTGATTGCTAATGGGTAAAGGGTTTTATTTGGGGATGATGAAAATGTTCTAGAATTACATAGTGGTGATGGTTGCATGACATTTTTGTGTGTCTGTGTGAGACTGAGTCTGGTTCTGTTGCCTAGGCTGGAGCGCAGTAGCGTGTTCTCGTCTCACTGCAATCTCTGCCTCCCAAGTTCCCCTGCCTCAGCCGCCTGAATAGCTGGGATTACAGGCACGCGCCAACACACCCAGCTAACTTTTTGTATTTTAGCAGAGATGGGGTTCACCATGTTGGCCAGGATGGTCTCGATCTTCTGACCTCATGATCCACCCGCCTCAGCCTCCCAAAGTGCTAGGATTACAGGCGTGGCACCCTGCACAACACTTTTAATATACTAAAAGCTATTGAATCGTACACTCTTTTTGGAGGGGGAACCAGAATCTCGCTCTGTCGCCCATGCTGGATTGCAGTGGCATGATCTTGGCTCACTGTAACCTGTGTCTCTCAGGTTCAAGTGATTCTCGTGCCTCAGTCTCCCTAACAGCTGGGATTACAGGCACCTGACACCACGCTCAGCTGATTTTTGTATTTTTAGTACAGATGGGGTTTTACCATGTTGGCCAGGCTGGTCTCAAACTCCTGACCTCAAGTGATCCACCTGCCTCGGCCTACCAGAGTGCTGACATTACAGGCGTGAGCCACTGCACCTGGCCTCATACACTTTAAAATGATTTAAATGATCACTTTTATATTAGATGAATTTTTCCTCAATTTTAAAAAATCAAAATATACACAATCTTTTTTTTTTACTCTGTACAATGTGTTGAACCTTTTATTCTTCCCTTAATAACACAGTCTTTTCATTTTTATAAAGTCAGATTTATCAATCTTCTCTATTATGGCTCCTTGGACCGATGCATCTTTTATCTCCTTGAATGTATTAAGCATATTTATTTTAAACTCTGAGTCAGAAAATGCCACTAACTAAATATCCTACAGGTCTGTTTCCATTGTTTGTTGTTTGCCTCTGTTTTCTTTCATGTGTATTATAACCTCCTGTGCTTGGTTATATTTGTATTGAATACTGGAAATTGCATATGAAAAACTGAGGCCAGATGCAGTGGCTCATGCCTATAATCGCAGTACTTTGGGAAGCTGAGGTGGGAGGATCACTTGAGGCCAGTTCGAGACCAGCCTGGGCAACACAGTGAAACCTTGTCTCTACCAAAAACTAATAAAAAATTATCTGGGGATGATGGCATGTGCCCCTACAGTCCCAGCTACTTGAGAGGCAGAGAGGGGAGGATTGCTTGAGCTCAGAAGATCAAGGCTGCAGTGAGCTATGATAGTGCCACCACTCTCCAGCATGGGTGACAGAGTGTGACCCTGTTGAAAGAAAGAAAGAAAGAAAGATAGAAAGAAAGAAAGAAAGAAAGAAAGAAGAAAGAAAGAAAGAAAAAAAGAAAGGAAGAGAAAGAAAGAAAGAGAAAGAAAAAAAGAAAAACGGAACCAATAGGCTGGGTTCAGTGGCTCACGCTGGTAATCCCAGCACTTTAGGAGGTCGATGTGGGTGGATCACGAAGTCAGGAGGTCAAGACCATCCTCGCTAACACTGTGAAACCCCATCTCTACTAAAAATATAAAAAATTAGCTGGGCGTGGTGGCATGCGCCTGTAGTCCCAGCTACTCAGGAGACTGAGGCAGGAGAGTCGCTTGAATCCGAGAGGCGGAGGTTGCAGTGAGCCGAGATCTTACCACTAGACTCCAGCCTGGGCAACAGAATGAGACTCCATCTCAAAAAAAAAAAAAAAAAAAAAAAAGAAAAGAAAAACTTAAGAATTAATCTCAGGTCTATTGTCTTGCAGAGAGGACTTAAATTTGCTCTTGGCAGGTGGTTAGGAGCATTAGCTATCTAAGACAGGCGTCCCCAAACTTTTTACACAGGGGGTCAGTTCACTGTCCCTCAGACCATTGGAGGGCTGCTACATACTGTGCTCCTCTCACTGACCACCAATGAAAGAGGTGCCCCTTCCTGAAGTGCAGCGGGGGGGCCGGATGCGGCCCGTGGGCCGTAGTTTAGGGACGCCTGATCCAAGATGATCTCAATTCAGTCTCAGGAATTACATGATTTGATCCCTGAAAAGTCAGTCTTCTGGTTCACTCTTACTCCTAGGTATGCCCTTTAGGGTCCTAACTTGAGAATGAGAGTATTGGGGTGATATCAGAGAAAATGGTCATTTAGGCAGCTCTAAGGTCCCATTCCTCCACAAAAACATTGAAATATCAAGAAAAAAAACACAAAAAACAAAAAAAATTCTGTCAGAATCAACTTTGTCAGAACTCTGGAAAATACTCAAAGTTTATAGTAACCAAACAAACAGTGAATCAAGGAAAAGGAAACTGAACAATGGTTCAGTGCAAGCAGGAAGTAAAGACTAAGATTTGTAAATGGCCCAAGGAGTTGAAGGAGGGCTCCAACACATAGCCAATCTGCAAATATTTTTTTTTTCTTTTCTTTCTTTTTTTAAAAATCACTTCTGGTGTTCAAGGAAATCTCCGTCAAAACACTAACTTAACACAAGCTAAAGGAACAGAGCTTTCAGAGACCACACACAACTAGATCTAACAGATATCTACTAAACACTCTACCCGACAAAAGCAGACTATACATTGTTCTCAAGGACACATGGAACATTCTCCAGGATAGACCAGATGTTAGGCCATAAAATAAACCTCATCAAATTTAAAAAGACTGAAATCATGCAAAGTATCTTCTTTGACCACAATGGAATGAAACTAGAAATCAATAACAGAAGCAAAACTGGAAAATTCATAAATATATAGAAATTACACAACATATTCTTTAAAAAAAAACCCATGGGTAAAAAAAAAATAGATCACAAAGGAAATTAGAAAATACTTTGAGATGAATAAAAATGAAAACACAACATACCAAAACTTATGGGATTACAGCAAAAGCAGTGTTCAGAGGGAAATTTGTAGCTGTAAATGCATGCATTAAAAAAGAAGGATCTCAAATCAATAAACTAACTGAATATTTTGAAAAAGAAAATAAAAATTAGAGTGGAGATAAATGAAATAAAGAATAGAAAAACAATAGAGAGAAACAGAAAAACAAAAGAGAAAATCAACAAAACCAAAAGTTGGTTCTTTGAAAAGATCTACAAAATTAACAAACCTTTAAACTAGACTGACTAGGGAAAAAAAAGAGAGAAAATGAAAATAACTAAAATCAGAAACTAAAGTGGGGACATTACCATCAACCTTAAAGAAATATAAAAGGGTTATGAGAGAATACTATGAACAATGGTACACCAACAAATTAGATAACTTAGAGGAGACGAACAAATTCTTAGAAACTCACAAATTACCAAAATAGACTCAAGAAGAAATAAAAAATCTTAATAGATCTAGAACAAGTGAAGAGATTAGATCAGTCATCAAAAACCTCCTAACAAAGAAAAGTCCAAGACCAAATGGCTTCAGTGGTAAACTCTATTAAACATTTAAATTAGAATTAACACCAATCCTTCTCAAACTCTTCCAAAAAATAGAATAAAAGGAAGCAATTCCTAACTCACTCTATGAGATCAGTATTACCCTGATACCAAAGCCAGGCAAAAACATTACAAGAAAAGAAAATTACAGACCAATATCCCTTATGAAATGGATGCACAAATTCTCAACATAATTCCAGCAAACCAAATACAACAGCATTTTAAAGGGATTATATACCATGGCCAAGAGGGATTTATCCCAGAAATGCAAGGTTGGTTCAATATAAGAAAATTAATCAATATATTGCACCACATTAATAGAATCAATTGCAGCTCAATCGATGCAGGAAAAAAAAAAAAAAAGCATCTGACAACATCCAACACCTTTTCATGATAAAAACACTCAGAAAACTAAGAATTGAAGGAAGTTTCCTCAACATAATAAAAGACTTTTATGAAAAACCTAAAACTAACATTAAAATCAGTGATGAAAGACTGAAAGCTTTTCCCCTATGATGAGGAACAAGATAAACATGCCTACTTTCACACTGCTATTCAATATTGTGGTAGAACTTCTAGTCAGAGCAATTGAGCAAGAAAAAGAAACAAAAGACATCCAAATCAGAAAGAAGGAAATAAAACTATTTTCACAGATAACATGATCTGGTATATAGACTATTCCAAAGAATACACCACACACACACACACACACACACACACACACACACACACACACAAACTACTAGAGCTAACAAGTATATTCATCAAAGCTCCAGAGTATAAGATCAACACACAAATAATAAACAATCAAAAAAGGAATTAAGAAAATAATTCCTTTTATAATATCAATCAAAAGAATAAATTAAGAATAAATTTAACCAAGGTAATGAAAGACTTGTCCACTAAAAACTACAAAACATTGCTGAAAAAAAATTAAAGATATAAATAAATGGAAAGACACTATGGATTGAAAGACTTAAATTGTCAAGATGGCAATATTACCCGAAGTGATACAGCAATTCAATGCAATCCCTATCAAACTCCCAACAGGCTTTTTTGCAGAAATGGAAAATTTGATCCTCAAATTCATTGCAAGGGGCCCCAAATAGACAAACAATAATAAAGAACAACTTCAACATTAAAAAAGAATAAAGTTGAAGGACTCACACTTCCCTATTTCAAAACTTGTTACAAAGCTACAGCAATCAAGACAGTGTGGTACTGGCATAGACACATAGATCAACAGAACAGAACTGAGAGTCCAGTAAAAAACCCATATGTTTATGGTCTATAGATTCTTTTCCTTTTCTGAGACAGAGTCTTACTTTCTCACCCAGGCTAGAGTGCAGCAGCATGATCTTGGCTCACTGCAACTTCCACCTTTTGGGTTCAAGTGATTCTCCAGCCTCAGCCTCTCAAGTAGCTGGTATTACAGTCACAAGCTACCATGCCTGGCTAATTTTTGTATTTTTAGTAGAGACGGGGTTTTACAATGTTGGCCAGGCTGGTCTTAAACTCCTGACCTCAGGTTATCTGCCCGCCTTGGCCTTCCAAAGTACTGGGATTACAAGCATAGCCACTGTACCTGGCCTGGCCTATTGATTTTTCACAAGGGTGCAAAGATCACTCAATGGGGAAAGAACAGTCTCTTCAACAGATGGTGCTGGGACAACTGCATATCCATATGCAAAAAATTAATTTTGACTTCATACCATATATAGAAACTAACTTAAAATCATTCACAGACATAAGTGTAAAAGCTAAAACTATAAAACTCTTAGAGGAAAACATAGAGACAAGTCTTCATGACCTTAGATTTGACAATGCATTCTTAGATATGACATCAAAAGCACAAGCAACCAAGAAAAAACATGGATAAACTGGACTTTATCAAAATTTAATGCTCTTATGCATCAAAGTACATTAACAAGAAAATGATAAGACAATCTACAGAATGGGAGCAAATATTTGCAAATCATGTATCTGATAAGGAATTTATATCCAGAAAGAACTCTTATAATTCAATAATAAAAAGTCTGGGCCAGATTCAGTGGCTCATGCCTATAATCCCAGCACTTTGAGAGGCTGAGGTGGGTGGATCATGAGGTCAGGAGTTCAAGACCAGCCTGGACAAGATGGTGAAACCCCCCCTCTACTAAAAATACAAAAATTAGCAGGGCATGGTGGCACGTGCCTGTAATCCCAGCTACTCGGGAGGCTGAGGCAGGAGAATCACTTGAACCTGGGAGGTGGAGGTTGCAGTGAGTTGAGATTGCACCGTTGCACTCCAGCCTGGGGGACAGAGTGAGACTCCATCTCAAAAAAAAAAAAAAAAAAAAAAAAAAAGACAGCCTGATTTTAAATGGGCAAAGAATCTGCACAGACATTTCTATACAAATGGCCAACAAATACACTAAAAGATGCTCAGCATCATTAGTCATTAGGGAAATGCAAATGAAAACAACAATGAAATACCATGTCACACACACTAGGATGGCCGTAATAAAAATAAAAACAAAATAACAAGTGACGGCAAAAACATGAAGAAATTAGAACCTTCATACGTTGCTGGTAGAAATGCAAAATGGTACCACTACTGTGGGAAGCGGTTTAGCAATTACTGGAAAATTTAAACATAGGGTTACCACATAATCCAGCATAGAGTTACCATAGACCCAGTGAAACATTCCTAGGTATATACCTAAGAGAATGGAGGACACATATGTAAATGAAAATTTGTACATGAAAATTCATAGCAGCATTGTTCATAATAGCCAAAAGGTGGAAACAATCCGAATGTCTATTCACTGATAAATGGATAAACAAAATGTAATATACAATGGAATATTATCAGCCATAAAAAGAAATTAATGATACATGCTATGACATGAATGAACCTTTAAAACACTAAGTTAAGTGAAAGAAGCCAAATACAAAAGGCCACAGATTAGATGATTTCATTTATATGAAAAAGCTAGAGTAGGCAAATCCATAGAGACAGAAAGTAGAATAGTGGTTGCCAGGGGTGGGGAGGAGGAAATGATAATAGAAATGGCCTTTCTATTGGGAGTGATGAAAATGTTCTGAAATTAGACATTGGTGATGGTTGCACAATCTTATGAATGCACAAAAAAATCACTGAGTTGTCCACTGTTAAGTGGTAAATTTTATGGTGTGTGAATGATATCTCAGAAAATGGCAAATGAAATGCTGTAAGCCTACAGATAGGAGCTTGCCAGGCACCTGAGGAGACTTCTATTGAACGGGTAACAGAGGGTAGCTCTCACTTAATGTAAACTGTTTTCCCAAAGAAATGCATTTCTGCTGTAGTATGTCCATCCATTCTTTCAACAGTTATCATGTACCTGTTATGTACAAAAATCAAGGCAGCATCTGCTTCCACTTACCTGTTTTCCCTTAAAGGCCTCAAGAAGTAAATCAATATCAGCACAAGTGAGAGGAAATTGTAGCCGAGGACCTTGATAGGAGTCTGGGACATCTATCAAGTGTATATAATCCTGTTTATCCCTCATGTCCTGTTTGCTTTCAGTAAGTTGACTTAATTCTGGAAAAGGAAGGACAGAAGGGAGGATGGGAATCAACATTTCAATACTTAAATTTAATAAATATCTTCTTGAATACCTAGCCCATATAAGGCGCTGTGCTAAATGGTATGCATACCAACATAGCCCACATATAACCACGAGGAATGACTGATCCTGTGACCAGTACATTCACATGGGTCACCATCATCCCTTTCTGGACAGATGTTTTACCACAGCAGTGGGTCCATGGCCAGTGAGAAGGGGAGGGAGAAGCACAGGAAAAAGTGGCCAATTAGGGTATTTGGATGATCAAAGCTCTAGCTCTAAGTTTTTTGCCCACTCTTACAGCTCAGTTTTTTACAAATAGGGCTGAAAACAGAACAATACATTATATTTGGTTCAAACATCTGCTGCTATTCAGAACCTACAGAAAATTTAACTGCAACATTCAATTTTTCCCCTGTTATACACTTCAGAGGATTCTACTTAGCTGTAATGGATTTGTTTTTCTCTTCACATAAAAATAAATTTTCTGATATGATTTTTGTTCTTTCTTGGTAACAAAACAGATAAAGTTAAATGACAAACCACAGGCAGAAATACCCAAAGAACCTCTCAGTGTCAGAGAGACAGTTCTACGTTACTGAGGGCCTGCATTGTCCATTTTAGTGGGTACTGAGACTCAGGGTCCCTGCTTGCTAGATTGCCCATGAAACAGTCAGCCCCAGTACAGAAATTGAGACAATTCAGATAGAGAAAGATGAAAGGAAACATGGTAGACTGATTTCAAAAGTGATCCCAATTCTCTATCCCACCTTCTATCCATGGTCTTTGTAATGTGCTTTTGCAGCTACTCCTGTCAAGAGTGTGTTTCCCCATCCCTTCAAACTGGGCTGGGCTCATGACTTGTATAGACCCAGAGAATGTGATGGTAGTGCTATGTACCAGTTCCAAGCCCAGGTCTCTAGAGGCCTTGTATGCTTCCACGCTCTCTTTAGGAATGATACCACTACCACAAAGCCTAAACTAGGCTTCAGAAAGATCCAAGACCACGTGGAACTGGGCTGAGTCATCCTAGCCAAGGTTGTCCTAGATCAGCCCCTAGCCAGCAGCTACCAGTGTTCACTCCGGATACATGAGTGAACTCCAGCCAAGACCCAAAAAACTGCCAAATCAAGCCTGCCAAGATCAGCAGGAGTGTTCAGTTAATCTGTAGACTTTTTAGCAAAAAGAAATGCTTATTACATGCCACTGAGGTATGGTGGTTGTTTAATACACAATATTCTTGCAGATAATGACCCAGAGGATGATGACATACTCTTCAACTCACTAACACTGAATTGTTACAAAGGCCGTTCTTCAGAAGTTCTCTGCAGTTTCTAGCTTTTTAAATATTGGAGTGGTCAGTTTAGAAGGTATAATGTTAGCAGATACAGACAGAAAACATTTTTTTCATGATCCAGTTATGCTGAGAGATTACAGTTAAGAACTAAATGTGAAAAATGTTTTCTAAAGTCATACTATTTGGCAATTTTAAAAAATATTTTCAAAATTATTGTGTACCACAGTATTTTCTGGTGGTAGTTGATGATGTTTTATAAGAAGTTAAATTTAGGAGTTCTAATGTCTGTCTTTAATATGTTCCAGAAGTGGTTGTTTTTCTCATTTGGGTTTGGTTTGAGATTTAAGAATAACTTAATTATTTTGATTTATATTTAGAGACTAGACAGGCAGAGCATCTTGATAACTTTATCTCAGATTCATTATGTAGGCAGCAAAGCCAAAATATTCACTGTCTTTAGTGCTCAGGATACCCTTTTCAATTTGGTAGTCATTCTTGGATATAAATCTTGCTCCAAATGAAAACGTTCCTTTTCCTGACTATACAAACTGAAATACCAAGCAACTTTTAGAAAAAACAAATAACAGCAAAACACACACACACACACACACACACACACACACACACCACAGTCATTTCACTACAACATCTAACAGAATTATAAAGGTTATTTTTTGTTATAGACTCTAAAAAATAAAGTGAATATGGAACACATGGTCAAAACTAGGGAATTTTGTTTTTTAGATGGGGGAGGAATTTATGATATGATTGCAGTGTTCAAGAGAAAGGCAATAAATCAGCCTGTGCAACATGGTGAAACCCCGTCTCTACAAAAAATACAAAAAACTAGGTGAGCATAGTGGTGTGCACCTATAATCCCAGCTACCCAGGAGGCTGAGGCAGGAGGATGAGCCCAGGAGGTCAAGGCTGCAGTGAGGCGTGATTGTGCCACTGCACTACAGCCTGGGCAACACAGCAAGACCCTGCCTCAAAAAGAAAAAAAGAAAGGTAGCATAGCTTGAAGCACGCCTGATTTAAAAGGTCAGATGCTGGAGGGAAAGAAAAAATTAAGTTGCGGATGCAGCTGTGGATGTAGATGAGCACAGAAGATCACCTACGGAGCTCTTCCCCGCCCCCTTTCTCCCTTCCAAATCCTGAGAGGCCTGGCAACTTCAGCAGTCACTCCCTCGCTTGCCTGTATCTCCGGCATGATCCTCTCTTCAGAGGAGGATCTGTAACACAATTAAACATAGTCGGAGACTCCTCGGATCTAAGATGTCACTCCTGGACCTTGCATCTGCCCCACACTGGGGATGCTTTCCTCTCCCACCCCAGCACTCTGTCTTCATTGTTCCCACTCTTCCCTCTCCCTGGACTACCCTTGCTTTCTCTTCTTTGGACAATTTCTCCTCATTCTTCAAAACTCAGCAACCCCTGCCCAGGTTGAACCCCAGGCCAAACCTTTTCCAAGGCATTATGCTGATAATGACAAAGACGGGAGCTCCCAGTTACTGATGTGCCAGGCACTGTTCTAAGCACCTTACATACATGTATTCATGTAATGACTGAAACTACCCTATGAGATAAATATTGTTGGTATCCCCATTTTATATATGAGGAAAATGGGGTGCAGCATGTAAGTGGGAGAGATGGAACTTGATCCCAGAGAAGCTGGCTTCAAGCTCAAACTCTTAATCATTACGCTTTTACTACATATTAAAATGTAACTATGCTACATGATACCTATAGTATTATTTATGTACTTATAACCAGTTTCTTTAGTAATCCCAACTCTGTGAGCAATAAACCAAAAATCATTGTATTTTCCCAATCATTGCCTCCACCCGTGCTCTGTCATCTCTCCCTTTCCCATTGGCTAACTGACACAGCAAATCAATTTCATTCCTTCCACTTATGAAGACTTAGTCTGGTTACTTAAGAACAAAATTGAAATATTGTTTTCATTTTTTAAGAAGAAGATAAGGTTGGTCTACCCTCCCTTCCATAGATCTGATGACCCTCATTGACTAAAAGTTCAGTGACAAATATATGAAAAACACCAGTTCCCTAAACTGATTCTTAGTTAAAACTACTCAATACGAAGTACTAGTCAGTATCAAATCATAATTCTTCTGCTGGATTTTAGCAACACAAAAAAGAATAACATAAGTTCTCTTCCAGTAGCTAATGTGTCATGTATGAAAACAATGAAAGGCTTTAACATTTCTAATGCATATACTGTTCTTGTGGGCCATAACTATCATAATAACAATAATATAATGAATACCAACAATATATAAAGATTTGTGCAACATGTAATTAGAATTAATCCTTACCTATTTGATTTACAATTTTGTCAACATGAATCTAAACTAATTAAGTATAATAAAATCTTGAATTATAACCAAATGATACCTTTACAAGTTGTTCTAAAGAAAATACCTCAAAAATATCCCCTACACATAATCTTTTCTTTTACCCAGTACAGACTTAAAATCTGGACAGGGAAAAATTTAAAGCCATAAATTTTTATAAAACAATTTCTGCCTCTACCACCCACATGTCACTTTGAAAACAAGCTCCAGATATTGCTGGAAAAAGAAAAGCACCAATTGAACTACATTTATAGTTACTTTCCCTTCTCAATTATGAATCTGGATCAGAACCATTGGTGTCCATATAATAAATTCAATAGATGCCAAAATGACATTTCATGAAATTCAACATCTGTTCCCGATTTTTTAAAAACTCAGAAACTAGGAATGGATGGATATTTCCTTAACACAGCTTTATAAAATTCAATCAACAATAACAGTTTTTCCATTAAGTCATTAACAAAAGAAGGATGCCCACTTTCATTGTTTCATTCATTAACACTGTTCCACTATCTTCGGTCAATGCAATAAGACAGGAAGCTGAAATAAGAGCAGTAATTATTGTATAAAAAGATATAAAAATAAAGTTACTTGTGGCCAATGTGATTAAATACCTACACCCAAGAAAGTCAATTGAAAAACTCCAAGAAGCAATAGGAGAATTAAATATAATACAGAGACTGGGCATGGTAGCTCACATGTGTAATCCCAGCACTTTGGGAGGCCAAGGCAGGAGAATTTCTTGAGTCCAGACATTTTGGCAAAACCCTGTCTCTACAAAAAAATGTGAAATATTAGCTGGGAGTGGTGGTGTGTGCCTCTAGTCCCAGTTACTCTGGAGGCTGAGGTGGGAGGATCATCTGAGCCCAGGAGATCGAGGCTGCAGTGAGCCATGATCACAATACTGTACTCTGGTCTGGGTGACAAAGTGAGACCCTGTCTCAAAAAAAATAAAAAATAGCCGGGCGCGGTGGCTCAAGCCTGTAATCCCAGCACTTTGGGAGGCCGAAGCGGGTGGATCACGAGGTCAAGAGATCAAGACCATCCTGGTCAACATGGTGAAACCCCGTCTCTACTAAAAATACTAAAAATTAGCTGGGCATGGCGGCGTGTGCCTGTAATCCCAGCTACTCAGGAGGCTGAGGCAGGAGAATTGCTTGAATCCAGGAGGCGGAGGCTGCGGTGAGCCGAGGTCGCGCCATTGCACTCCAGCCTGGGTAACAAGAGCGAAACTCCGCCTCAAAAAATAATAATAATAATAATAAAATATATATAATATATAATATATATAAAAATACCATAA